AAAAAAGAAAAAAAGTTAATCTTAACCAAAATTAGAAATTTTGTCCCTACCAGGCAGAAGTTAAAGTTTGGAGTTTATCTGAATTCATGCGGTAGTGAATACAGACTAAAGATTATAGCTTATATCCTGCAAACCTTGAAGTACTGTCTCAATTCTGCAGCAGGGATGTGCTAGTGAACCAGCTCTTAAAGAAAAAAGTCATGATTTGTCACAAGACTGGTTTTTGTGATGTAAATACTCCCACTCTGACCAGTTTTAAGCTACCAGTGTCTTGAGCTCACAAAATTTCCAAACATTTAGCTACTAGTTTTTTTTTTTTCTAGCCAAACTCGATAGTTCCAGCACATCAGTATCACTCTACCTCTGTAATATACAGAAAAAAGTTAGAGTGAAGAGAAATAGGTGAAAGGTTTTACAAAACCTAAGATCATTATAGAAGTACAAACTGCCACCAGTATTTGCCCCTGAATTTTATTACATGACATTTTCAAGTACGGAGATCTATCTTAACTTTCATTGAAGTATAATTATCATTTAAGGTAGTAGAAATACTTGACTTTAGTCTTTTTTATTTGAACTTTGTGGTATAATATGGATTCTAAATGAAAAATCTAGCATACTATCATTCTTACTGAAAATTCAATTTGATTCTCTTTTCTGCTCCCTCAGCAATTTGATACGAGGCTGGTGTCTGGCTACAGATAAAGAAGTTTGATGAATAACTGAGTGAAAAATGTGAACATCCCTATGCATCTAGTGTTATCACATGTATCCAATGACAAGTGTTTATTCTCAAGAAGCAGGAGATGCCTCAAGATTCACTGACCATATTTATAATTATACATTTATAAATGTATAATTATAAAAAGTAGCATAGTGTTAATTATACAATGCTGAAATTATTATTTTATTGGAGTAGATATTCTCCAATCTGTAATTATAATAATCACTATTAAAAATTCCAATTACCATGTTAATGTGTTCAATTGCATGTGTGTATATCTTGGCAAAAATTCAGTTCTCTAGGTACAATGTTGTGGCACTGTTACTAAAAATTTAATACAGCATTTCACAGAACAGAATTTGATCGAAATAATAGACTGGCACAACCTCTGGAAACATTGCAACACAATCTCCATCATCCTCAAACTTCTGTGTGCATAAACCCACCTATGGCAATTTCCTCAGCCCCAAAAGACATTCTGAAGTAGTAAAGTATAGCTGGAAAAATGTGCACTTTTCACAATCCCACCGTGGCATGGATGTGTATACAAAGGGGTCTTGGAGCCAATTCCCCATGGATACTGAGGACTCAGTGTATTAATATATTCTAAATGGCTTGAGTATTCTGTATTTTTGTTAATGTTTGTGCATGTGATCTTTAAATGTGTGTGGGTTTTCTGTATTCTCATCAGATATCCCTTCTTGTAATTGCCAAAATCTTCTACCTAATCTCTCCATCCCAATTTGTTCCTTTGTTTAGAAAACAAACAAACAAACCCAAACAATCATATAACCATTAGCTGCATTTATCACAAGAAAAGTCTTTCAGTGAATCTTCTGTTTAGTGAATACCACACATCGCATTCAGTTTGGTTGCATTTTCAGATAACTTTGGACATCTCTCTCCTGATTTAAATAGACTTAAATTGACAGATGAATAAAGCTAACTGCATTTATTTGTTTAATCTGTTGCCTTTCCCAAAGTAAAATCTAGCAAAGTGTAAATATCGGGATTTGAAAATGGCAAGCAGTAATAAACAATTTGAAAATGTAATTTATCAATAGGACATGAATTGATTAATAAAATATTGTTTCATGGATAATGGAAACAGAGGAACTTCCTTCCAAAACCCTTTTAGTGCACCAAAAAAGATTCAATAAAACTGAATTCTTAGAAAAGAAAAACAATCTCTGATTTGTTTCCCACAATTTCATTGACAGACTTTTAAAAATGTTCTTCAGATACATTGATATCAACGGTGTAAATGTTATGTTCCCTGAACCTCCCATGCTATATCAAGTTCAGAACTGAGTGGAAAGCTGTATTTGATGTACAAATGCGCTGTTATTTATGGAGGAAAGGCTGAATTTATTGGGGAAAAAAAGTAGGCGAGTTTAAACTTGGGCAAAAGGAATCTGGAAGGAAACTCTGGAAAGGATATATTTTTGATTAACAATAAACTGTTCTACTTAAAATAATGAAAAAAAACAGTGATGATAGAGATATAGCTAGAGATATAGAAGCCCTTATTGGCTGAGCTGTAATATCACCAGGAAAGATACAGACTTGAAACTTGTATTAATTGTCAGACTCTATCTAATTAAGTTGCATGTTCATTGTGAGATAAAATAGTACTACCTGTGTATAGTGACATGGTTTTGATACTTTTTTTTTTGGTACCAGGGATCCAATTTGGGACCTTGCGCTTGCGCGGCGGGCGCCGGAACCACTGAGCTAAATCCCCGGCCCGGTTCTGATACTTTTAAATTTTAGTTATCAGTTTTATAAGCACGTATAAGGAGTTGAAAACATAAGATTTGCCAAGGGATCTGATTTGTGAGGAAATACTGGAAATATCTTTAAACATTTCACCTATATTTGTTCCACCTGTCCTCTTCAACAACCTCCAGTACATTTACAAATAATTTTTGCTTCCATAAAAGAGATTGTTAGTGCTTTTGGGAGCTGTTATCTCTTTTGATGATCTATATTCATTCATACCCACCATCCCATATTTGTGCAAGTTTAGGGCACTGATTCCTTCATTTATTGCTGCAGAACATTTCCAGAAACTTCCTTGAGTTTATTAGTGTTTAATTCCTAGCAATCATGTAATTTATTTGTTTTTGTAAAGTGGATGATGTGTTTGTATTTGCTCAGACATCTGGGGTCTTATCATTCCTCTATGAGTCTTTAAATATAATAGGTAATGGCACTGAGATTTAATCAGTAGTTTCTAGTGCTCTAGGGTCGATTTTATCAAGACTCGATTACTTGTAAGCTTGTAGCTTGACTAAGTAGTCCCTCACCTGTTTAGCTACTGTTTGCAATTGTTTGGTGTCAATTCTGAAGTTTATGTGAGGCCTGTGATCACATTTAATTTCTTTTGGAAAGAGGAAAGAAAATACAATCTAAAATATAACATTCTGGTTTTTTCTTTTATTTATTTAAAAATATTTTTCAATTTTCTGTGAAGTAAATTTTGTATGATTTCATGGAAAGCAATTTAGAGTACTGGGTAAAATTAAGGGCAAAGCTATTGGTTCCTAGTGTCCTGGGCTCAGAGTCTTAGCTTTGCCGCTATTTGTGTGAGCATCCCAGCTTGTGTTTCTGTTTCCCCATCTGTAGTATGCAGCCATATTCTTATCAAGCCTGTTTTGTAGGGTAATTGAAAGGATTAAGAAAGTTAATGTGTAAGCACTCAGAAGAGTACATGACATCTGATGGACACCATGAATATTATCCCTTGAATATGCAATATATATCTCTCTATGTAGTAATATAAAACATACATATTACATATGTAAGTACATACAAACATGCCATTTTATTTTTCTTGCATATTGCCACTTATTCCATGTACTTAATTTATTATAGATATGTAAAAATAAGCTAAACTTTTTAAAGATATGATCATGATTCTCACACAAATATAAAAAATATGTCGAGTATTTTATTGGAGTCATTGAGTAATAAAAAATAAGATTAAAACTGATTTTAAAAAGGACTAAAAATGCATATGCATATGTCATCCATCAAAAATGATAAAATAGTTTTTTGTATATATATATATATACTTATAAATATATGATACTATGATCTATCATTACAACTATTATTCTATCTATAATTTTCTTTGCATTTTACTGATCATTGCATACATTATGCCATTAGATTTTGTCTCTGGATGCTTATAAACTTTACTTTTAATTTGTCCTTACTTTCATTTTGTATAAAATTATTTCAAGATTTGATTTTAGAGAATTTATTCTTTTGCCAAACTGATTTCCTGTAGAGTATTTCATTCATTTTATGATTCTGTTTGAGAATCAAGTAATGCTTCTATTTACAAATTAACCTATTCTTCTTTCTGCTCTAATCAATATCTTTTCTATTGTTTCTCCAAGCTAACATTTGCATTTTCCAAGGACATTTACTTTTCCTGCACTTTCAACTGAATGTATTAAATCCCGGGTGTTAGTCCTCTATTCTTAGAATATATTAAAATACTAAATTGTTGTCCTTTTTCGTTTTTGTCTTTACACACTGTACATGCTGACAGTTTGTTAAATCCCTTTATCACATAACCAATGGCCTTTATCACATAACCAGTGGCCAATGGCCCTTAGGTTTCTTCATGTTCACTAATAGTTTTCTTGATCTTTCATGCAAAAAATATAGCAGAACACATCCAAAGACAAAGTTACAATAAATTTAGCTTAAGATTTAATTGGCTTCTGTTTATAAGTGACTCTAGAATTGGACAACACCTTAGTCTATAAAAACAGAGTAAAGGAGAGGATGTTGGTTTAATCTACAGGAAAGGGCTAAGCAAAAACAGAAAACAATTGGTCATTCAAAGTTACTTTTCTTGTAAAAGTTAAAGTAGAGGTGACTTTCTTATCATGCATGCCAAAACTGGTCTTCATGGAGATTTGTTTACTGAATCTCTGTCATTCTCTGCTGATTTCTTTTTTCTTGGATGGTCAGATAAACAACCTAGTTTTGGCTATCAGTGAAACATGAGCATGAGTGACTTCATTTTGGTTTAGTTTTTTGGTCCTGTTGCAGGAGTTTGGTCAAAACAAATGTCCTCTATAACCTTTATTTAACACATGGAAGACAGTGGCTTTTTGCTTTTTACTCTACTTTTTGTAATATTTGAAAGATATCTCACCAAGAGTTTTATTACTCATTATCATTGCTTTAATTATGTAGTCCTATAATTCTTTTGTGAATGTGATTAAGTATCCTCTTTTCTCATTATTGTTCCTAGCACACCTTCTAAAATCTGCATCAGCTGATTGCTTTCTTCATCATTACAATTTAAAATCACCTCTTGACTATGTTCATCATTCACTGAAATTAGTTCAAAGCCCCCTCCTTGGATTAATGACTTCTCCTTGCTTTGTGCTGTGCCCTCCTTTCTTTGAGAGATAAATAGGTAAGTAGCCCATTCCGTAATTATCAAATCATGAGATTAGAAGATAATACTAAAGGTTATTTAGAGTTGATCCCCTTGATTCCAGATGGGAGGGAGAATACTGAAACTTTCCTAGTCTGATGGTTATCTCTTCAGGAGGAGATTTGGGAACATCTTATGTGAATAAATTTATTTCTATGCTGTGATACAGAGTTACTAAAAGTGAAGGTTCAATTAACAGCTACAAATTCAAGTAAGTTTAAATCACATTACTGCCAATTATCCTTTGCTGGTATGTGCCAAAGGGGAATATTAACCAGAAAATTAGCATGTTGAAAGTTTCATTCATATACAAATCAAATTCAAGTGAGATGTTTTTTCCAAGGAAAAAAAACAAAGCCTGTACATTAGAATCTTTGTAGGACAAAAGATTTAATGAAGTACAAAGTTTTAGGGAAAAAAAGTTATTCACTTTTAAAAACAATTTTGTGTTTGTTTCAAGATAATATTTAATTGTGTGCTAGGGAGAGAATGTTTCTAGAATTGTCTGTAAGTGTTCTGCGTACTTTATCTATCTTGTAACAAATTTTAACTTCATTTACTTGTGACTTAATAATTAGCAGGAGAGTAATTTTCTTCTTAACTTTTCCCTTCTATTTTTTTGCAAAATAGTGATGCCAAGCAAGGGTTTACTGTTTGTAGCATATAGAAGCTAATGCTATGGCATGAATTTTTGTATAAAGAGCTTTACTATGAGGCTTATTGGCAATGAGATCAGGATGCATGATTCATTTTGGGGAGAATTACAGTGGTTCTACTGAGGGAATTTTGAATTTGTGATATCAAAAGTTCATTTACAGATTAGCTGTTTTCTTCTGCATGCCTCCATTCTTGAAAAACTGGATTCTGATTATCTTAAGTAGATCCTGGGAAAAAAACTTAAGCCCTGATAATTTAAGGGATTTATATCCAGGTGTGTCTAGTCCTTTCAGTAGTCTCAGAGTGAAATTGAATGGTAAATCCAGCAATTCAGAGAAGCATCAAAACTTTGCATTGTGTTAATAATCCAAAGCATTCTTACAGCTGTTTCTTAACCTCTGAATTATTTTTTATGTATCCTTTCTTTTCTTCTTGAAAGATCTAACTTCCTGTATTCACCTACTAATGTTTCAAAACTCAGTTGTGCTATTTCCCTTTCCAGCAAGTTTTTCCTCATTCTCTCAATTTCTCTTGGTTAATCCCTTTGTATTCACTTCTTACCTAGTATGTGGGTTTATCACTGCATTAGATAGTTAGTTCTCTATATAGTCTGCTATACCAGACTAGGAGGTTTTTTGGAGGTGGTAACATTTTTTGATAGTCTCTGTATCCTTGATGATCTGACATTTTGAATAGCATTCTATTTATATTTGCTAAGTAGAATTCTGACATGTACTTTGTGACTAATCCACATGAATTGTTGCAGATTTCATCAGTATTTATTTCTATAGTGGTTTATACACATGAATATTACCATTAGAATTTAAAAATAAAATGTAGGTTCATCCTTGGGAGTTATACATGTACATAACTCATCTCAATTCTTTTTTGTTTGTCCTCTTCCTGTCTCCTCCCTCCCTGCTCCCTACAACAACTCTTCTTCATCTCACAAACATGTACTAATAAAAATTTAAAAAATTATCTCTATCTATGTCTATCTATCTATCATCTGTCTGTCTATCTATCTATCTATCTATCTATCTATCTATCTATCTATCATCTATGCTGGGATTCTTTTACACATAAAATATGAGGGCTGGGAATGTAGCTCAGTGGCAGAACATTGTCTAGCATTCACCAGCTCTGGGTTCCGTCCCTAGCAGTACACATGCAAGCGAATAGGCATAGGCACACACACACACACACACACACACACACACACACACAAGTAAAAAGTAGATAGAAGACATTTAGAAATCATGTACCAACCATCTTATGTGACTGCTTAACCTTTCATTTAAGAGCAGTGGTGGTGATGGTAGTGGTGGTGATGTTGATACTAGTCTTTAGGGCAAAATTTTATTCCTGTATCGTAATTGAAAAACAGCCCACTTCTCCAAAGAAAGCATCAATTTTCAAGAGATGATTCATGTAAGACCTTCATGGTGATTGAGGGTGGGAAACCTGATTCCCTGTTGAAACTTGAAGCAAGGGATAGAGGGAAAGATTGAGTAAAGGAAGAGAGCTAGGATTCAGATTCTGGGCCTAGGAAATAGAGATTTGCTGCTTTGACAGATCCTACTGATTGCTGAGAAGTGTATGGCAGTCTGTCCCTGTCTGGACTCATATTTTCATAACCAGAGGGGGGAGGCTGAGACTCTGATCATTCTTTTGGCAGTTTCATTGCTCTGTTAACAATAATCCTTCACAATGGCTGATTTATACATTTTCATTAACCTTTCCCCTAATGTTCTTCGAAGTTTTTCAGGCTCCTCAAATGCATTTTGTCTGATCTTGATAGCTTGGTTTTTATTCAGTTTACCAATATGAATGGTTCCCTTTGACATTCTATGAGAAGTGAATTTTAGTGAGTGGAATGATTATAAAGTGACTTTTGATCATTGGAACCACAACCATAAAAGAATTAAGTATTCACTAAAAATTAATATACTTGAGAAACAAAAACAAAATGCAATAGCAAACAAACAAGCAAAAACAAAAAACCCAACAAAAATAATGTAAATGAATAGTTAAATATCTATGCAAGTTGAAAATAAGATGAAATGCAAAGCTGAATTTTTCTTTTATGTTTGGTCCTACTCTAAAAACAAACATGAAATTTCAATCAATGGACAAAATAGCAGCATTTCTGTGACTGTTGTTAAAGCCCAACAGAAAAGGAATGGAGAAGATTTAAGTTTAATAAAATATTATAATGATGTTTAGAGGATTAGATCAATTTGAAATACCTCACCTCTGAAGAGATGATTAAGAAAAGGTTTTTAGGAATTTTAAACCTATTTTTGAAATCAAGACCATTACAGAACAATGCAAGACTATAGACAGTGATTCCTAAACTGTGAAGTTTAGACTAATCTTTGGGTATCATTCCAGAGAATATATTCCATGGTTTGGAGCAAGTGCAGAAACTTACCTAGAGGAGGTGGGATTTAAATTTGACATTTTAAGGATGTATAGGATTTAGATGGGCATAGGAATATCATACATAAGAAATGATAGGAGCAAATTGAATAGATATTTGGTGTAATAGTTGGCTGTACTGTATTTTCCATTCATTTTTGTTTGTTTGTTATTGTTTAAATGCCATCATAGGTGAAGAAAGGGAAAAGAATTTGTTTATTTTCACTTACTTTACTCATTTTTATCGGCGTTTTGGCTGTCCCTAATTATGTAAAGAACTGTACTTCACAAGGTTTCTTTGAGAATATTGATAAAATACATAGCCATAAAAATGTTCACATTTTAAGTATGCATTATTGAGTTTTGAAGTGAAATGGTAGTGACAATGTTTTAAAAATTATTAATATCTTGACTGTAGTGTAGATCCTTGCTTTTAATTAAGAAGCTCACTAGATGGTTTTTAATACTATCTCATAACTAGGTCCCTTATGTCTTTGAATTGCTTGTATTGCAAGGGGAATCACTTAAAACAAGCTTATTAGACAACTGAGCAGCTTGGAAATCCCCCACTAGACCTTTCAATAAGGTTTAATCAGGCAGGTAAGACCCTGATGAGGCTGGCAATTAGACTTACTGTATTTTTAAAATGGAGATGCTGAGTTTCAAAATATTAAAATGCTATTTAAATATAGTGATGATAAATTTAGAGATGCTATTGTAGACACAAACCAAAATCTCACCCTTCTCCAACCCTGTGGTTCATTATAGTTATTTGTTAAATTAACAAGTATTAATTTATTTTTGAATTATTACTAGGAATTTAGTCTGATTTAATATTGCTATTTGATTGGGAAAAAATAGTTGTGGTTATTAATAGATACTGCACTAGAATTAATTAAACTGAAGTTCTTTTTTGAACTCTCTATTTCTGAGCTGAATTAACATTTCTCTTTTAGTCCAATATTTTTAAAAAATATAAACGGATGTACAAATAGAAATATGTAAATGTGTGTGATGAACAGTATATGCAGTAATATAAAAATATATGAGATTATATTGAAGACAGTTTCCCTCTTCAAAAGGTTTTAAGTTGCAAGTGCTAAGAACAGATACAAATAAGAGGTTTAATTCTCTCCATTAAAAACAAGAGAAGCTCCTTTCCCCATACTTTGTCTTAGAGCATTTATTCTAGAAAACTTGTATCGTAAATGCTAAGTTCTTTCTGTTTCTTGCAGTGTATGTAAATGTATCTCAGATAGTTAAAAGATTCACCAAGATGATTGGTAAGACTAAATTAGAAACCAACATAATATGGCCATTAAAACTGGACAGACAGGTTTTCTAGCTTGAGATGCAAAATAGGAAATGACCTAAATTTAAGAATGACTTCCTAACTCATTGGCAGTCAAAAATAATCCAGCACCCTCTAGTGTATATACTCCTTTACTGTATATGTCCTTTATCTACATTATTCTCAAATCTGATCATTTTCATTTATGCAATATGTCTAGATCAACTATGCCTAAGAATGCAGATAAAAATATACATTTCTCCCTTGAATATTATTTTATTAAATATTTTATGTTATACTATGATGTGTACACATACATGTGTACAGAATATAAATATTTAACCCCAAAGTTATTAAAGTTAATACCAGTATAACCACATTCTAGGTAAAAAATTAAAACATGGCCCAAACCCCAAACTACCTCCCCTTGCTTCTCCCATGTCTGAGTTACTTTTCTCGTTGCTGAGACAAGATACCCAACACCCAAAGTTAGAGGAAGAAAGGCTTATTGTACCTCATAGTTTATAGAGGTTTCTGTCCACAATTGACTGGCTCCAAGGCAGGGTGACATGGTAGAGGGGCATCACAAAGAAGAAACAGTTCATGGCAGACAGAAGGCAGTGAAACAGTGAAATAGCAAGCAGCAAGCCACAAGGGATGACCATGGCAACCCTCTTTCTATCCTTTATATTCTATCTAAGCTACCCACCCTTAGGATGGGTAGCACTCATACCTAGGGTGGGACACCCTTAATCCTAGCATGGCACCATGAGTCAATCCCAACATCACATCCTAAATCCAAGCATCATACAGTCTAGATACAACCACCTCCAGAAAGCTCCACCCATGACCGAATGAGGCTTTGGGGGGACATCTAGATACAAGATGTAACCCCCTCCAATGTTATTCTTCCCTCCTCATTTCGGATTTGTAATATCATTGGTAATTTCTTTTGCCTGATTCTGAGTTTACATAACTAGAATCATATCCATTTGTGTTTGGCTCTTTATGCTTGAAATTTTTTTTTGTCAGGCCCTTTTTCTCCACAAAATTATGTTTGTGAGATGATGTTTGAGTGTGTCACTAAAGTTCATTCATTTCATTACTGTATGGTATTTCATTTATATGAACATACCATAGGCTATTTGTTCACTTCAGTGTTGACAGATTTTGTTTTTGGTCTGATGCTTTAATACATAAAGCTTCTCAATATTTTGAAATGTCTTTAGGTACAAATGTACATGCAATGTTTTTCAATATATAATAGAAAAAGAACTTCTGGGTCATAGATCAACTCTAGTAGGTCTATTTTGCAATGTGTTTGTGCCTGTTTACACACCCACCATCCCTTTATGAGAGTTCCTATTACTTCAAATATTCACCAAAAACTTAGTAATAAATCTGTTAATTTTAGCTTTTCTGATACATGTTCAACAGTGTCTCATTGAGCTTTTCAAATTTGCAGATTTTTAATGAAGATGATCACTTCTCAGCCTTTTTGGCTAAGATCAAGAGTGGTATCAATGAGGGTGAGCCTCTTTCACATACTTAGTAGTTTGCCCATTTTATGATTAAGCTGTATCTTTTCTCATTCATTTGAAAGAATTATTTATTCCGTATATATGTAATTTGTTTATATGTTTTTCAAATGTCTTGTCACATGATGTGGCTTGATTTGTACTCTCTTAATGGTGTCCTCTGGTAAGTATAATTTTTAAAATTTAATGTGTTCTAACTTACAGTCCTTTATTTTGTGATGTATATGTATATTTATACATACATATTTATTTATAATTTATCAATTTCTTTCAATATTTGTGTAGTTTAAAGCTAAGGCTATATGTTTGATTTTTTGTGTGTGTGTATAGTCTTATGACTGGTATCTTTTAAAAATTTCGTTTTTAATTGTGATGTATAGAAGTGAAAGTGGTATTTGGCCACATAGATAACAAATTTCCTAACTATTAGTTCTAATATATTACCTGTAGATCCCATTAGATTATTTACATTTATTAGTATCAATTCTCTATGTAATAATGTAAATTAGAACTCATTTAATTTTTTAAACAGAGGTAGATGATCTTTAATGGCCATGAAGTGTTTCATGCTATTAATATATTACGTATCAGTGGAATGGCTAGGATGGAAACCAGAGTCAGATTTTGGGTTTAAATCATTGTTCCATCATTTACCAGCTGAGTGACTCTATTAATATCTTGTAATTGTCTAATGTTTCACTTTTTTAGGAAAGCGTCATTCATATGTGCTTTTAAATAAAATATAGTCTAGTGGCTTGAGTGTGTTTCCTATTTATATATGATGTGTAAATGATTGTGGAGTTTCATACTCAAACATGTCTTCCAAAAGGTTGGATTAATTTACACAGCAGTTTGTAGGAGTTTTTATTTCTTCATAATTCTGACAATATTTGGTAATATGAACTTATGAAAGGTTTTGAACCAAAGATTTAGAAAATTTTGTGAAGTTTAAGTATTGGCGAATCTAAACAATTATGCAGTACCCCATTTTTGTTATAATTACAATTTTTGTGGTTACAAATGTGTTTTTAAAAACTTTCTAATGTGCTTGATATATACTTGCCTTTTTGTGAATATTCTGTTCATTTTATTGACTATTTTGTACTGGGTTGTTTTTCTTATCAATTTAGAGAATTTAAGAAATGTATCGAATACATATTTTAGTTGCATGAATTGGAAATATCTTCTTCCAGTTTGTAGCTTCTTTTTCACTTTTTAAAAGATGATTTTTAATGGAAATTTATATTTCATATTTCTTTGTGCATTTTCCTCTTACATAAAAATTCCAATCTTGAAATCATAAATGTAGTTTTGCACAGTTTTCTAAAAGTTTTACAGAAATGCTCTTTACATATGTATCTTTATTTTTTTACTATTTATTTATTTATTATTTTTGGTACTGGGGATCAAACTCAGGAAATTATGTTTGTGAGGCAGGTGGTGGAACCACTGAGCTAAATCCCTGGTCCCATATGTATCTTTATTGCATCTAAAATTTATTTTTGTGTATAGCCTGAAGCTGGCATCTAAATTCATTTCATTTTCCCCATGACAAACCATTTAGCTCATAACTATTTATTGAAAAATCTTCTATTCACAATTGATTTATAATAAATCTATTTGATATGAAGTTTCAAAAAAGATTTGGCTTCATTTCTGAAGATCTTTGAGTTCAAATTTTTTTAAATCATTATACAGGTTCACATTACTTTATTTATAGTGATTTTAAAATACAACTGCTAGGAATCATTTCCTCTCTCACAGAGATATTTTCAAAGAATATCTTAGCCATTTTTGGCCTTAAAATTTTCATAAACATTTCAAAATAAAATTTTCACATTTCTCCAAAATAAATACAGATGACCTTTTAAAATGTTGAAAATAATTTGGGGCACTAGCAATCAGTTGGAGAACATTTGACATCTTTCTAATTTTGAGTCTTCAATTTGTATACATAGTGTGTATCTTGATATATTTAGAATTTCACAAAGAAGCTGTATATCTTTGCTCTATTTTAAATGAATATGTTATAGTTTTCTCTGCTATTATAAAGTTGAATTTTTAAAAATTTGTCTTCATTGTTGCTATTTTATAGGATACCAATTGATTTCTTACAATGTTTTTATCATCAAACTTGCTGAATTTGCTCACATTTTATCCAAAAAGTTTGGTAATACTTTTAGGCTTCCATATAGATAATCATAACATATGCAAATGAGTCTTCCTTTTATATTTCCAATGTCTACGATTTTCTTCTTTTCTTCTTTTTACTTTCCTACTTAGAAACTAGTACATTGTTTTAAAGTAGTGATTTACCATCCCCATTTGTTCCTGACTTTTTAAAGGAAGAATTTCTAGTTTCACTAGGATGTACTATATTTGATGAAGATTTTTGAAAAATACTATAATTAGCTTTAGTAATCTTCCATTTCTATTTTATAACACTTTTCTTTTTAAATGTTATGTAGTGATATTGAATTTCAACCTATGATTTAATGTATCTACAATAATGCCTTTATGATTAGTATGTTTACTCTCTAAATGTGGTTGTATTTGTCTGCTGAAGCTACAATAACAAAATACTGTACATTTCCCAGCTGAGACAACAGAAATCCATTTTGTCACAGTTTGAGACACTGAGAGTCCCAAGAGCAAGATATCAGCAGATTTAGTGTCTTCTGAGACCTCTCTCCATGGCTTGCAGAAAGCCATCTTCTCCCTCAAGTTGCATTTTTTTCTATTTGTGGCCATCCAGGTGTTTCTATCTTTTTTCAATGGCACCAATTATACTGGATAAAGACCCCATCCCAAAAGCTTTGTTTCAATTTAATTACTCTTTAAAGATTTGTTTCTAAGGGCTGGGGATTTAGCTCAGTGGTTTCGCCACCTGCTGTGCAGCGGAAGGACCTGAGTTCGATCCCCAGTACCAAAAAAAAAAAAAAAAAAAGATTTATTTCTAAATATTGGTATATTCTGAAGCACTTGGGGTTAGGACCTCAAGATATGACATGGGGGGGCATAATTCATCAAATAACAGTGATTAATTTGTTGAAGTTTTTTTTTATTCCACTGTCAGATATTTTTGGAAAGTTGATCGTACTGGATTTTTATTTGTTTGGAGTTTGTTTGTTGGTTTGTTTGTTTTTTGAGACTGAGTCTCACTTTGTAGTTCAGATTGGCCTTGAACTCACTATGTAGCTCAGGCTGGTCTCAAATTCATGGCAATCCTCCTGCCTCAGCTTCCTGAGTGCTGATATGACAGGCATATGCCACCATGCTTAGCTCATACTGGATTTTAAAAATCATTTTTGTTGCACTATAATTTATGGAAAGAGATGTGTCCATTGAAAATGTATAATGGAATGAATTTTGACAAATGTACACACATAACCATGACCTCAATAATGGTACTGAAAATATCCATTACCATAGGGAATCCCTCAAGCTACTTTGTAGTGAATTTCCCCAATGCTCTGCCCAAGGGATCTCTGAACTGATTTTAGCCATCATGCGTTAGAGTTGTCAGTTCTGGAACTTCCTGTGAAGGAATCACGCAAGACCATCTAGCTTACAAATATTGTATTGTTGTAAAAAAAAATCCCGTCTGATAATCTGTGCTTTAAAATCCATATAATCTATGTTTTTATATTTATTTAATATACTGATATGTTTACCTTTATTTTTTATGATTTACTTTATTTACATTCACTAATATTTTTCCCTGTCATTTTTTTCTTTTCTACTTGATATAAGAACACACAAAATTTTACTTAATCCTTTATTTCTTTTACTTATTTAGAATTAATATTCTTATTTTTATTTAGCGATTAATCACAAAATTTTCAAACCTTGCTATGGTTTGGATATGGGCTAATTATGTACCCCAAGGGCACACATATTGAAATTTAATCCCTATTAAGAAGGTGAGTTTTTAAGAAGCTGGAAAACTAATCTAACTATTGTATTTAGAGATGGAACTTTTGGAGTGTGATTAGAATTAACTAAGGTCATCAGGATGAGGCACCCTAGAACACACACACACATACACACACACACACACACACACACACACACTTTCCATGCCTTCCTTCCCACCATGTGGCACTCTGCACTGGCTCAGGACTCTATTGGCCAAATAGGCCATTACCAGATGTGATCCCTCAATCTTTGACCAGAACCATGATCCGAAATAAGCCTCCTTCTTTATAATTCACCCAGTCTGTGATATTGGGTTAATTGCTACAGAAAAGAGACCAAGACATATGTTTTCTTGCCTTAACATGTAGCATTAATGCCTGCTGTATCAGAAAACAGAACTTTAACTGCGTTACTCTCACAATTTTTCTTTTATCTAACAATCAATTAACATATTTGAATTCTACTTTTTCTGTGGTTATAAAACTATTGTCAATTTTTATTTATATTGCTACTGTTAAATAGTTAATGTTTCTGGCTTTCTCTCTGTTGTCTTTGTCATTTCTTTTTGTATTTCAGACATTCCATATGAGGTTCCAATGACTTGTCTTATAGCAGAAATGAATTATTTTTTAGAATATTCAGCAAGAGATACTTTTAGTAAAAAAATACTTTTAGTAAATTCCAGTCTGAAAATGGAGCCCTTGTCTGAAAATGGAGCCCCTTCTGTTTACCTGGGTATGGCCAGCTAATTGATCTTTTCTTTCTCAATACATTGATTATATCTTTTTCATTGTCTTTGTGGTTTGTTTTGGCTGTTTGATCTGGCATTAATCTAAATAGCACTTCTTTGAAAATAATCTGCTTTACCTTTTACTACCTTCAAGTTCTTCTTCTATTGAATATTTATCTATTGACCTCTGAATTTATTTTATTTTACTTCTTATGAGGTGTTTTGTACTACTGAATCTGAGGAGTCATATTTCTACTATGTGAGTAAAATTCTCCAAGTCTCCTTTTCAGTATTATGTCTGCCTCATCCCCTTCTCTTTCAATTTTAAAACCTTATTTAACCA